GGGGGAGGAGAACGGCGCAATCGTTCAATTGTTCCTTATTTGCGGAGGAATCCTTTTTAATTGAAGCGTCGTTTCACTTCAAAGAAAAGTGAATAGGTCGATGTAGGCCTATACATTCGGCACCCGGGTCGCCGGACCAGGCACCACTCGACTTCTGGCTGTGGGTTATCATTCAAGACTAGGTATTTGCCGACAATCCACGTACGATCTATGAGCTGAAGCAAGGGTATCAATCTGGCGGCTCGCGGGCCGGATCCGGCCAGCCAGTCCATTTCTTCCGGCCCACGAAGTCCTCTTCAACAGCTGGTTACGGAAACAAACTGCAAATGTCAGCCTGTTTGCATTAAAGATAAGGTGTTGCAATTTCGTCGTGGCCCTAATCACCCCTGAAGGCTTTCATCCGGTCCCCCCCCACCCCAGTCCAATCGAGTTTGGCACTCCTGACCTAAAGCAACGCATCACTGAGAATACTGCCGGAGTTTACTTCGACACGTGTGCAACCATTAATAATGGATCGCATTCACCGAGGGATCGAGCTTGATGGTGCTCAATAACATGGCTGGATTTAAAGACGATTTTTCTTCAACGTTCCATTTAGGTGATTTATCGTACGCTCTTTCCTATGCAAAAAATGTTGCAATTCCTTCCTGCAGAGTTAAAGTTGTTCAAAGACGCTTTTGACTCACCCTGTAGATCCCTCGGAACCATTAGAAAACAGCAGTTTGTAACAGAAAACGATATATTTATTGCTACAGACGAACTGCAGCGTGAAACCATTGAAACATGGTACATGAAAAAAAGTACTTCCGTAGCGATGCAGTATACCGCAACATAGGGAAACTTTTGCCGCCTGTTTGGGGAGTTCCCGCGTACCCTACGGCTCACCGGGTTGCATATCTGGAAGGATGAAACCCGGTGAATGAAGGTCACTGATGTGTTTCCTAGCAGATAGGCTAACCCGACATACCTTATAGCGTTCGCCGACCTTCACCTACAGGCGGCAAAATATTCCCTATGTCGCGTTTAAATACGAACACCCTGTATAGAAAATATATTAGCAGTGACACACAACTCACAGACTTTTGGAATATGTCAAAATCCTACAGTTTCAAATGGAAAGACTTTAAAGGAAATATTAAAAGGACAAAATTAACCTGAACTTGTTGCCTTGGAGATGAAATGGGGAGATGACGCATGTTTGGCAAGATGTTCCGGTGCACTTGGAGATGCTGAGCGGGGAGCCGATGGAGAAGGGGGCTCCTGCTGGAAAAAGGCCTCTCTCACCCAACACCTGGAATACAATTGGTACATTTTACTTGCTTCATTTACAACAATCTCATTCACGAGTCTCATTAAAAAAAAGGGACCTATCCCCAAAATGACCATTCTTGGTGGAAAAGTCCCCTTCTAGGTTGAGGTGACAAGTGCTGAATCAGTGTCGCTGGCCGCCGCACACCCCCAGATTCCCTCAGCACTCTCCTTTGGGGGGACGTTAGTCACGTCCACCCAGTCGTCCCTGATCATGTGAGGAGTCCGTGGAGCGGAAATGGAGTAGTTGGAGCAAGTGGACTTGGAGCCGATGAGAAGCCCATATGGGAGATTAGGCCATCCTGGCCCTGCCACCCAGGCAGTGGTATATGTCTGCTATTCCTGCACAATTGGTAAGTGCCTGAACCAACCTGACAACCAAGGTGAACATTAAAAAATTGTAAGAAAGAAAGAAAAATTAACTTCAAAGAGTAAACAATCAAGACAGGAGTTGTGAACGTAAGTTGCAACTAAGAGACTTTGACTCACCGCCCTAAAGCTGCATGAAAGCTGCATTTCCTCTCTCGCAGGAAACCAACCACGGAGCAAACTCAAAGATCTTGTGACCTTTTGCTACATCAACTCATATCACACACATTCTGTAAATGCCTAACTTGACTGGGGAAGCTCGGGGTCTAGTATTGGAAGCATCAAGGATGAAGTCGTCCAATTGGAACCAGCGGCAAATGGTGGAAACTGAACAGCTTTTAACGACAGGACTTACTTCAGGCCTTCCGTGAAACTATAGTCCTATCCCTCTTCACTCAGTGTAGCGAAAATTCATTATTAAAAGAAAACTCCAACAAGGTATCTTGTCGAAGTTGTGAGATCGACTGCTGATACGAAAGTTCAATAATAGTTAAAGTCGTGTATCAATCTAAAGCAATTTAGCTCGATGAGAGACATTTAATTCAATAAAATAAAACACTGCAATCTTCAATACCTTCTCAATATATACATATATAAATAAAATAGACGATACGTTTCAACTGATAAATTTTGTTCCCTGGTTGCCATCAAACTTGGACTGGTGATTGCAACGAACGGCACCATTTATCGTACCATTATAATTGTGGAACTTTTCATTCCTTCAAATCAAAGATCTTCGCCCAACGTGACCTTGTGTGAATTTTAATGGAGTTAGACGAGGTTATGGTTGGTTAAAGGTCAGGGGTTAGCACTAAAACCACGTTAGCTAAGGATGGTTAGAATAGACAAGGCCACGTTAAGTTAGGTCAAAGGGAACTAGAAAGATTTGGTTTCAGTTCAAGCTTACTTTATTTGTATATATTGAGGTTAGGTATCAGTTTCATCAGAAGACTTTTGCTTCATAGTCTTTAAATCCTTGTATATTAATTCCACATTTAGACGCCAATTTAATATAGTTAATATTTAAGATAGCAATAGGCTCACCAAACGAAACAGGCTCACGTGAGGCAGTAAGCTGATTAATAAAAGGGGGAAAAAATCAGAAATCCTCTAAAGAAGCCAGATCCTGACTATCCTAACGAGCCTGAGAGCTCAGAGCTCTGCACTTCAAGACGTCCCTACTGACCCTAAACGTGCCTTTTAACTATGGGTTATGGTTGACGGGCCACAAGAGGAGCTTCTCCCCCTCGGTCCGGGCAGACCTCACTAGAACTCCCCTCTCCACGAACGTTTCTGGAGCACGCCCTGCATCAACAAAAAATGCTATTATGGGGATGAATTTCGATGCCTATACACTTCCCCTCATGGAACACATGACCCTGACAGGAAAAATTACGTCAATTGATTCTTGCCATCAACAAAAATATACATATAATTGCTTCCAATATGAATTTATGTAATGCATTCGTGACCTGTAAAAGGAGTGGGATGGAATGAGAGGGCGAAAGAGAGCCAGGGGACGGCCGAGAATCGAACTCTGACCTCATGATTGCCGGTCACCACCGAACCCGGGCATTCAATCGCACCTTTCAATGCCATCCCTAACACCACATTTACTTTAAAATCCACAGAAAGGTCAACTATTCGCATTACATTTTGTCTTACAAGTGTAACGGAGATGGGCATTACTCAGTGATGACTTTTAGAAACTGATAAATATTCAACATCGAAAATAATAGAATTTAATTAACCTGAACTTGGTGCCTCCGGGGAGAACTGCTCGGCAAGGATTTCCGGTAAGCTTGGCGATGCTGGGCGGGTATGCGATGGAGAAGGGGGCTTCAAGGCCCTCTCCCACTCACCAAACACCTGGGATGGAAATTATGAATTTACCATAGTGGATTTGAGAGAACCTCATCCATGAACAGATGGAAAAAAGAACGTGATCTCTTACCAAATTTACCTTTAGAAAAGTTCCCTCCATCTTGAAGGGGAGTGGTGGGGACACCAGTGCCGAATCTGGGCTGTTGATCATCGTGGCTTCCCAGAGAACCACAGACCCATCCCAAGGAAGGACATCTACGGCCACTCAGTTGTCCCCAATTGGGTGAGGAGCCCATGGAGACGGGTTACGGGCTGGGGGAGCGGTCTATGGAGCTGCTAGATAGAGCTGGAGCAAATAAATAAAAAATAAAAAATGCCAAAACCGAGGTCGTGCGCATTCTCGCCATCTCGCCCGAGTTATGCAACCCTGGTTTCCGCATGACAGGGCACTAGCCCATTTTAGTTATGTGGTTTGTCAGCTTTTGGAGAACTCCTTTCCTGGACGATGGATCGGTCGACACAGGGCTATCGAATGGCCCCCCCATTCCCCAGATCTAACCTCTCTGAATTTTTTTTTTGTGGGGACACGAAGTCAGTAGTCTGTCGAGACCGACAAAATATAGGAATTGCAGGGACGCATTGTTGATAAATGAAGTGCAACCACTCCTACGGTCCTGCGAAATGTGCGCTGCGAGTGGGAAAACCGCTTTACTCACTGCATTGCTGTGGATGGAAGGCACTTCGAGCAACTGCTGTAGTGTGCATTTTCAGAGATTCCAGACTTTCTGCTATTATTGCTAATCTTTCCTTATGTCAATACCAAAATTCGCAGCAAGGATGAATTTTCCTTGAAAGAGAGTGTCCCGACGTTTCACTTTTTAGTTATCCTTTGTTGCTCCGCTAACTTGCAGCGCACTCATTTACTCGAAGTTACATTGTGAATATCAGTGGGAGGCATAGGAGCCCAGAGATCCGATAGTCCCATTTCCCTTCAAGTCCCTCCTACGAAATGGCATGGACAGAAGTGAAATCCCATTTGGGCAGGAGGGAGCCAGATGTGAATTCATAGGTGAAAATATGACCAATAATGACCGGGACAACACATTTTCTACTCTGCTCCTCTTCATCACGTGGTACCACTCCCACTAATCGTATAGTTGCAGCAAATTTCCTCAATAGAAAATCAAACAGTTCCATGAACAAAGCTCTAAGTACGCAAATCTTCATGCAGAAATGTCCAAAAGTTCATGAATCGTGAGGTAAAGGGGGGATGCTTGCCTGGGAGCGTCAGGAGGAGGACTTGGCTAAATATGGAGGGTAAGAGTGAAATAAAAAATGAGTAAAGTAAAGGGAGGGATGGGAGTAAATGCATCTAGAAGCAGTGGAAGGTGATAGGAAAAAAACGGAACCTAGAAAATTTCCTATTCCATGGAATTGGAAAAAGGAAGCCTAATTTTTATGCAACCCAGTGAACCTTATGGCAGAGAGCTCCAGAAACAGGCGGCAAAATATTCCCTATGTTGCGTTTGAAGACGAACACCCACTATGTACAGACTTCGTTTTAAAATAAATTTTCAAAACATGTCACATTCCACACTTTCCTGTCACATTCGACACAGCCACAAAATAGGCTTACATTATGTTTCAAGTGTTGACATTTAGGGGTGACTTACAATTTCAAGCGTTCATCCAATCTATTGAATGAACATGAAACTATAGTCTTGTCACTGGGAATAAGGGCAGTAGATGGAAAATTAATGAAAAATGACGCCATTTAGGGTCTCCCCGGTCTTTGTCGGCGGATTAAGTCCTACCGTCAAAGACATGACATTCTGACACGGATGCCACATGGGCCTTCCCTTCAGAAGTGAGTATATGTATTTTCTTGCAGCCTTCACGATCTCCTCATGCAAGCAGTTTCATGTGGCGTCCCTGTGTTAATCCTGAGAGGTCAACCACGCCTGCTCACATTTAGCATTCCTGCTGTTCTTTGATGAAAAAAGCTGCCTGTGGCAATCTTATTTTTCCATGCTTGAGACTGGGGGAAAGGGCTGTCAGTGAGCTGACACTTCATGATCTCTAATGGCCTGTCGGCTAATTTGACCTGTCAAATTAGCCGACAAACTCGCCATATTCCCAGTGAATCGACTATATATTATCAGGATCTGCTCCATGACAAATCACAATCTGATCAAAGGATCAGATTGTGAAAGGTTTGGCTCGGGCTGTTTTTTTTTTCCATTTCGATTGCGGGCATAATTTAAGGATTTTACATTAAATTCCATCACGGACTGAAAGATTCTTCGCTCACGTAATGCCCAAGTCTCCGTCCAACATCCAAAAGGGAAGAAGTGGATCGAACTTTTCAAATGAAGCGTGGCTATTCCTTCTACGCAAAACGGAAAATATTTCGGCTGCTCCAAATTGGCTGCATGATCATGTCCCATGCACTCTTAGGAGGAGAACGTCGCCGTCGTTCATTTGTTTCCATATTTGCGGAGGAATAGGAGGAATTTGAGGAGGAATTTATTTGAGCCGTAGTTTTACTTCAAAGACGGGCAGATCGGACGGTGCAAGCCAATACATTCGGAAACCATGTCGCCGGACAAGGCTCCACTCGACTATTGGCTGTGGGTTTTCAGTGAAGATTTGGTATTTTCCCAAAATCCAAGCACGATCTATAAGCAGGGGTGTCAAACTGGCGGCCTGCGAAGTCCTCTTCAACAGTTACGGAAACGAACTGCAAATTTCAGCCTGTTTGCATTGAAGATAAGGTGTTGCAATTTCGTCGTAATCACCCCATCCCAATCCGGCCTCAGTCCAATCGAGTTTAACGCTCCTCACCTAAAGCAACCGACTCAAGGACGGATTGCCTTCGGCGAGTGATCGAGCTTGACGGTGCATATCATGGCTAGGATTAACAGACATGTTTTTTTTTTTTCAACGTTCTATTTAGGTGAATTAGCGTACGCTCTTTCCAATGAAAAAATAGGTAGCAATGCCTTCCTGCCGAGTTATAGCTATTCAAAGACGCTTTTGACTCACCCTGTAATTCCCTTGGAACAAATCGAATACAACAGTTCATAACAGAAAACTTTCTTGCTGCAGACATGAAGCTGCAACATGCAACAGCAGCATGAATCCGCTGAGACTTTGTATAGGAAAAGAGTACTTTTGTAGCAACATAGTATATAGAGAATGTATTAGCATTGATATGCAGCTCACACAAACTATGAATATTTTTCAACAACCTAGTCTGATTGGTAAGAATTCAAAGAAATTAAAGGAACAAAAATAACCTGAGCTTGTTGCCTTTGCGGAGATGACATGTTCGGCAAGACGTTCCGGTGCACTTGGAGATGGTGAGCGGGGAGCCGATGGAGAAGGGGGCTCCTGCTGGAAAATGGCCTCTCTCACCCAACACCTGCAATAGAATTTGTGTATTTTACTGGTGCTCATTTACGATAATCTCATCCATGAGCCTCATGAAAAAACAGAACCTCCCGCCAAATTAACCATTTTTGGTAGCAAAGTCCCCTTCTCTGTTGTGGTGACACCGGTGCCGAATCAGAGTCGCTGACCATCATACCTCCCCAGATTCATTAACACTCTCCTTGGGGGGACGTCAGTCACGTCCATCCAGTTGTTCCAGATCAAGTGAGGCCGTGGAGCTGGGTTACAGACTGGGGGAGCGGTCCGTGGAGCCGCTGGCAACGGAGTAGTTGGATAAGTGGACTCGTAGCCGATGCAGAGCCAATCTGGCAACCGTAGTAACAATTTTAAACATGTAAGAATGAAAGAAAAAAACAAGACAAGACAGGAGTTGTGAACTTTAGTTGCAACTAAGACCAACTTTGACTCACCATGCTAACGCTGCAGAAGAGGCGCTTTCCCTCTCTCTGGTAGAAAACTTTTCAATTACGAAGCAAACTCTGCCAAACACCTTGTGACCTTTTGCCACGTCAACTCATGTCACCCACATTCTGAAAATGGCTACCTTGACTGGGGAAGCTCAGGGTCTTGCATGGGAAGCAGCAGGGAGCATCAAGTCGTCCAATTGGAACAGGCGGCAAATGGTGGAAACTGAACAGCTTTCAACGATAGGACTAACTTCAGGCCTTCCGTGAAACTAAAGTCTTATCCCTTTCCATTCAGTGTAGGGAAAATTCGACGTCAAAAAATATCCAAGAAGGTATCTTGTCAATTTTCCAACTAAATTAGTACTCCACTCCCAAATAAAAAGAAACATACCAAGGTCCAATAGCCCTTGAAGAGCGAAGTTGTCGATATACTGCTAATACGAAGGTGTAATTATAGTTCATGGCATGCAATCTAAAGCAATTCTTTAGCTCGATGGAAGACATGTAATTCAGCAAAATAAAACACTGCAATCCTCAACAATACCTCCTCAATATATACATACATAAATAAAATGGACAATTCGTTTAAACTGATCTAAATGTTGTCCCGGGGTTGCCATCAAACTTGGACTTTTGCTCGCGGAAAAGAGCACCATTCATCGTATCATCTCAAGTGTACAAGTGTCTGTGCACTTCTTCAATCCAAGTTCTAATTGCCCAACGTGACCTTGTGATGTGACATGTTAATGGAGTTAGAGGTTAGGATGGGTTATTAAGGTCAGAGGTTAGAACTAAAACCACGTTAGCTAAGGATGGTTAGTATAGACAAGGCCACATTAGGTCAAAGGCAACTAGGAAAAATTATTCTCAGTTCAAGCTTACTTTATTTGTATATATTAGAGGTTAGGTATCAATTTCATCGCTTCTAATCAAGACTTTTGCTTCGAAGTATCTAAATACTGGTATATTAATTATATATTTAGACGCCAATTTAATAGTTAATTTTTAAGGTCGAAATTGGCTCCACAAACGAAACAGGCTGAAGTGAGGAAGTAAGCTGATCAATGGCAAAATCCGAAATTCTCAGAAGCAACCAGTTCCAGACTCTCCCGAGAGCTCAGAGCTCTGCACTTCAAGCTGTCCCAACTGACCCTTCTGGTGCCACTCAGCTACGGGCTCTAGTTGTCGGATCACATGAACGGCTTCTCATCCGGATTCGCCCTCCAAAAATCAAAGTGTCTGGAGCACACCCTGCATCAGAAAAAAAATACCATTATGGTTTTGAATTTAAATTCCTACATTTCCCTTCATTTTAAAAATTACTGTGACAGGAGAAATTACGTCAATAGATTCTTGGCATAAAAAGCTAAACAAATAAATTAACATTTCTATATGCATGATGGCTGTTAATAATGCATGTATGTGTGCATGTAAAACCATAAAACATGAAGATTCGAGATGGTTATTCGACTTGGTTATCGGATTTGAAGGAAAGGAATTTGTTCCAATTAAATTCCAGGATAAAGAAGGAAATGCATACTTAGTAAAGGATTAATAAGAGTGGCGATAGAGTGACATGCACGAACAATGTTCAGATAAAGTGGCGGCATCGGCAAGAATTGGACATCACTCCCACATCACTGTGAAGGCTTAGAATTCCCAACATAGAACCATATTGTCCTCGTGAACTAGCTTGGGCCTTGTTGCTCCAATCTATCCAAAAAGGGATTTTAAATTACTGACTCGAGGTCTATGATCCTTCGTCTCTGATCTTGAAAGTACCAATATTTTATCATGCTTCCAAGACCAGATACTTATTTTAAATCCATGGAAAATGATCAACTAATAGTTCTGGTCTTACAAGTGAAAGGGACATTCACTCAATCATGAGAATTGAAAGATTCATTCAATATTAATTTCAAACGTCTTGTTAATAAACTAATTAACCTGACCTTGGTGCCTCCCGGGAGATAACTGCTTGGCAAAGATTTCCGGTAGGCTTGGAGATGCTGGGCGGATAAACGATGGAGAGAGGGGCATCTTGCTTCAAGGTCCTCTCACCCAACAACACCTGGAATGGAAAGGATTAATTTATCTTTGAGAGAACCTCATCAATGCGCTGATGAAAAAAAGGAACGTGATCTCTGGCCAAATTTACCACGTGTTGAAAAAGTTCCCCTGCCGAATCTGGGAATTCCCTGGGAATCATCGCTTCCCAGGGAAAAACAGCCCCGTCCCAAGGAAGTTCATCAGCCATGTCCACTCAGGTGTCCTTTTTAGGGTGAGGAACCCATGGAGGCAGGTTACGGGCTGGGGGAGCGGTCAATGGAGCCGCTGGAATTGGAGCAGCTGGAGAAACAAAGGAAAAAATAAGTAAAATGAAAAATAAAAGTGAAGCAGTTCGCGTCTGGTGACAGTAAAGAAATAAGAATAACAAATACTCAGTATCAGGAAACTTGATTAGATATTTCACATACACCTCAAATTGAGTAACCCTACATGTCTCCAAATCTTAATCAGAGTTGCCTGCTTGCAATCGGACAAAGCTCACCTAATTTTTTTTTGACAAGCCTGTAATTTTTTTAATTGATAGCAATACCTATTTACTTTTCGTCGAATCTCCTGCCGACATTTAACTACGGAATGCCGAAAACGAATTCCGAAAGTCCTTTTTAAAACTTTTTTTTTTCAAAGTTAGATTGCAGGTAAAATTAAGGGCTTGTCCTCAAATTCAAATTTAAACCATTATTCGCTCAAATAATGCCCGAAGACTCCGTCTGACATCCCCATGCCATCCCATCCCCATGACCACGAGGTAGATCGAACTTTTCACTGAAACGTTCCAATACCTACAGAGCCCTGTCAATGATAAGCCGCCCACATAATTAAATGTATGCAACTGAAAACCTTGATTATTTCACCTGGAATTAATTATGAAAGGGGGGCATAATTGTAAATGACCAGATGTGGAGTTCGCCATGCCAAAAAAAGACTGCTTCCACAAAAGTTATCTTCAAGGAGAACTGCAACTATAATATTTTTCAAACATAAAACATCTCGCGTGCTCAATTAAGAAGGGGAACCCAGACATTCCACTAACTCCACTAACTTCTTAGGTAACCCAGACGATTTTAGTCCCACCCATATCAAGAAACGAGAAAGAAATCCAGTACGCACGTGGCTGGACTAGAACACGCTGCAAAATCGACTTGATCCCGGAGAGTGCAATTCGCTGTGTATGACACCCCTTGTCATTTCCCGTAATCGGGGAAGCTTTGTGACAGCGAAAGGTGGGTTATAACGGCGCATCACAGCTGGGAAGAAGATGTTTCTTACCGTCGATAGGCTGGCGTGGAGGAGAAGCGGGTGGAAGCTTCAGGAATACAAGGGATCCAAAGCGAGAATGAAAGGCGGTGGAGCCTCCTCCTCCACCCCCGTCCCGCCCGCGTGCGTGGCCTTGATCGTCACCTTTCCTCTGACCTGCTATCCTTCCGAATCGAAGGGAAATCTGCCCACTGAGTGGTGTCGCGACATTCCCCCTCGGGGAATTCTTTTCCAGACGGAAAAAAAAATCTCGGAATATACCGCTCTCGTTTTCCTTCTTTTCTTCCGGACTGCACGTCTGCTTATCCTTTCCTCTATTTTTTTTCTTTCGAGAGGGTGTCAGACGATGAACACTAAGTCCCATGAGAGCGATGGAAACGGTCTAAAACTCCATTAACTTGATTGAACTAATTTACATATAGCTACATGAAAAACATAAAAAAACCGCCAATCATAAGAATGGCTACGAGTTCCATTCTTAGTAATTTTTTTCTAATTGAGGAAGTCCTGCACTGACCAATAACGGCATCGGGCCCGTCAGTGTCTCCCTTCCCAGTTTGCATGCATTTAATCATTGTGCATGCATCGTGCTTTCAGTTGGTTCCAGGAGCCCGCTTCGTCAACAATATATGGGGAATCTTGCGTCGAATGGAAAGGCAAATAGGAATGGAAACAGCCGTCGTTTCCTAATTGTCCGAGGAAAGGTTCGTCCGGGCCGACGTCATTCATGCCGATTCAAAAACTGGGAGTCATTTTGGATTCTGCGGGGGATTTAAAGAAAGGTCATTTCTTGGGCAATTCCCAGTAATTGACTGATGCACCACGATGCATTCTTCATTGGGAAAAAAAATTGCCGAAATCAACCCAGTCGTTACCAAAAGTTGTTCCATCCTTCATGCCGAACAAAATTGGACAGATTAGAATGAAATTTTCGATGGTCTTGGGAATCGTCGAGAGGCATTGGAAGATACGCACCAGATCCGTTTACATTTCAACCGATACGATAATAAGAAACGATGGGTTCCGTTAATCGGATTCCCCTAGGGCAGGGGTGTCAAACTCAAATCGGTCGGAGGGCCGCATTCCTTATCCTGCAATGCCTTTGGGCCGCACCCATACTTTTTCATAGAAATTTGTGCTGTCAATCCAAGCGGAAATTTCAAGAACAGACGGCGGGTCGTGTTTGACACCCCTGGCCTAGGGGACTATTATGAACAAAAAAACAGTACGTTTCAGCTTGGGGTGATGCGTCTCTCACCCAGTAAACCAGCAAGACCAAGGCCGCCAATCGCGACGGGGTTCATGAATCAGCTGTGGGCGTAGAGACTCGCCTGGCTCCCGCCTTCGAGTGGAAGAGAGAATTCCTCGCGGGGGGACGCGTCCCAAGGTCAGACGTCCCTTCTCGCCTCGCTCATCGAGGTCGACCGGCTGCCGTGCAGCCATCCAGAGAACCTTCCTCCTTCGGTTTTCCTGTCTGGTTTTCGCTCGCGCCCTCTTGGCCTCAACGTCGATCCTGACTAGACGCGGCGACATTCTCTTGCCCTTCCCCCGGGTGAAGGCGAACTGCCCTGTCTCCCGTTCGCTTCAGACTTTCCTTTTGAGATTAAAATCGCAAAAATGGCGACGCAATGCGAAACCCCTGAACATGTTAACCCCATGACGATATCCTGCAATATTCGAAATGATCGGTACCTCTCAAGGTAGAACACTTGAAAGTGACTGAGCAGAAAGTTACTGTAAAATGAGCAGAGGAAAAAATTCACTGTTAACTCTGCAAGCAAGGTGTTGTATCAATTTGGACTTTAGAGGTGTGCACGCTTTCATTAATATAATTCTGATTGGACGGAATCGGCAGGAAAGAAAATTCTCTTATTATTGAAAAGTGTCTTCCTCCCTGGAACCAAAGGCGATCATCATTGTATTTTTAATTACTTATATCCCTCATGGCTCTAACTCATCATATATAAAACTAACGGGACGCTTCAATCCGCAGGTATATGCAAATGCATATATTTCTTCATTGGTATTTCTTTTCGCGGAAATGGAATGGAATCCTCGGAGTCCCTCGTCCAAACAGAACCAAGTCTCGTTTACCTGCTGTTGCGGTGGGCGGAGTCCGCTGTGCCCCGGGGAAAAGTTCCAGCCGCTTGCCCCCTCCCCCGCTTGCCCCCTCCCCCGCTTGCCCCCTCCCCCGTTTGCCCCCTCCCCCGCTTGCCCCCTCCCCCCTCCCCCCCGCATTATTATTTCCTGTTCATCGTCGCAGTCGAATGCGTCCACACTGATATATTCTGACGTCTTACCCTATACGCGACGTGGTATTTCATTGCTCTTGTGTTTTCTTTCATGGGCAGAGAATGGCTCTGTCGGCATATCCGCATGCTTTATCGATGACAATTTATTTACCAAATATCTCGATCACAAAGGACTCCTGACATATGTGTTCGGACGGAATCTCGATGACATCTTCGCCGAACTTGTTCACGAGGAAAAATCGCACCGTCGCCGAGCTGAATCAGCCAATTGGCTAATTCATTTTCTGGAAGGATCCGCATGTTGGAAGAAAATTTTAGTTTGGATGTATCCGGCCACAACAGACTGTATTTCAATTAAGATTGCTTCAGCAATTTAAACAATGTTTATGGAATTACGAAAGTGTATGTGAACCTTCCCCTCTCGTTGAATTTCTGCTCCTTTCCGGACTTTCTCGCACCGATCAATACACAGGGACATTACGGAGTCAATTATATATGCATATTCATTTAAATCATTATTTACTTCATGGGCTCTTCGCTAAAGACTGCAACTGCTACTTCCCATATTATTTGTTATGGTTACCGTCTGATGAGTATGTCAGGGAGATGGGAGGGTTTATCGCTATTGTCCCTTTATAGAATCGATGGAAACGATACTCGTGAAATGATTTAAATTGCATTCATTGAAACGTTCCCTTCTTCCATACGCTGACGAAAACAAAGTGGTAATTCCTACGAAAAAAGAGAAATCGAACTGCAACGCATCCCATGTCATTAAATTGCTCCAAGTATTTTCTTCCTATCTGAGTTCCTACCATCGCATCAAGCGGCCCCTTACAGTCCCGCTTAAGAGAGTCATTGAGGATTGTGCTGGATCCGCCGTCAGATCTTAGTGTCATTTCGAACGAAATTGCGGAAGGGGGCAAAAGACGCATGCTCGATCGATTGTACGCGTTTTATTCCTTTTCATAACTGTGGCTGAAAAAGTACTGGTCCAGTAGACTTGAATTTTAACCCACACTACCTTATAAAATCTGGTAATTTTGGATTTTGTAATAAGGAGGAAACCATGTGCAGGCCATGGCGCGGGCACACATGGACTCATGATTATAGGACCAATATTTTGTAATTGCGGGATATTTTATGTCATACTTAGCTAGATGTGTTGGAGATTGCCTTTTCAACTGCATGAATATTGCATTGAATTGAAGACACTTTGAAGTGGCACTCGGTACATGTCGTCTCATGCGTTCATTAAGACTGCATTAACTGCGGCCCTTCCCTTTGAAGCGTTTCTACGATTTCCTTTCTCCTTTTCCATGTATTTCGTGGTCAATGTTATGCACAGCACAGCTCCAACGTCCATTCCCTCAGCAATAATTTAATCTTTGGGTGTCCACACTTTCAGTGGTAACGTACAAGACAAGGAGAGTAAGCGAGGGAATTTATAGAAAGTAAAGTCCATCTCATGTTGGCATATGCTGGCCCATGCCGCACACGAAGTATGATGATCATCGAGACACGATGTGTTGTTTTTCAGGCACTTGTATCGCATACGAGCGACAGCTTCACGGGTTTCGCTTCAAGGATTTCTTGATTTTCAGGCAATGGCCTCTACTCTCAGAGATTTTGTTACAATACCCAAAACAATTTCTTAATATATGATTTATTACTTATGCTTGAATATTTTAGTCAATGATCGCACCGACATCAGTGCATGAATATTAGACCGATTGTATTGTTTCATGACTAAGCATCATCAGCCTGGTTGATAGAGCAGACTCCGTACGGATGTAAGTGGTAGACGAGATACTCCATCGCGTGCATGAGATTGGGAGAGACGTAATGGAAGGCGATGGCCGTGTCCGAACAGCACTCGGGTCCTTCCGTGTAATTGTAGTGAGTGAATCTGAACAACCAGTTGAATCGGTGCTCCACAATGGGGTTGAGTTGAGTCTCTGGATCGAAGGGGAAGAAGCGCCAGCGTCCAAACTCGTCTCGGGAATCGCCCGCTTCCACTCCCACTGCGGCCAGACATTTCCCTGTCGTCGATTGAAGAAAGAAGAGAACGCTCAGCGCGTAGCTTCAGCCGTCCTTCAGATGGCCATCATGGACCGTAAACGGGATGGAGACGAGAGGAATTTCCGGAAGGATACTCTAGGATTTTCACGTTTGAACAGTAAATACGAATGGAGATTCGTTTGTGAGAAATGCAGGACAAAAATTAAGTGACAGCGTCATGATCTCTTTTTTCCCGATTTCCCTTTCGGTGCCACTTTCTTCACGTTTTGACAGAAAACAGAGAGCAAGAATGAAGGCTAAATGAATCGATAAAGGACTTTCTCTTGATGCATCATTGCTCATTCTGATCTAGATTTATTTTGTTTAAATGATATTAAAATTCGACAGATCGTTTTTCATGCATGGATCATAATCATATTTTGGATACTTTTTATGATGGATTCTTCGCCAAATACTGGAAAAGCTTTCAATTACATCCAGCAACTGCTACTGAATTAACCTATACGAACCAACCTCTTCACGTTCTCACTAGCGAGCGATTTTCCCCTTTCAGAATTGAAGCATTCACGATCTATGATGAGAAAAGAAGAAGGGAAGGACAACAGACCGATGGATACATCTTCATCCTTCCCAAGAGGACAGGTTCTAGGATTCAGTAATGCCTCTTCCGCTAATCTATTCACTGCCTCTCGGCTCAGCACATATCCTCCGAGAAGAAAAAAACCTTTCGATCTAGGCATCCAAAAAAATAGCTATCATCTTGGCAGCTGGAGATCATGGCAGTGTCCCTGACCTGCTCCCCCGCTCATGAAACCGTGGAAACGACAGCCAAAGTAAACTGGTTTCAGAGGATCGTGCTTGTGGAGCATGTAGCGGAGATTCTCCATGACGACGTAGGTGTCATCATCTGCTTTCAGGAACCAGTCCGAATCGTTGAGGTGGTGTTGGTACACGTATTTCCATGCCGCGTGAGATTTGTCAGACAGATGATCCCGACCTTCTTTAACGTCCAGTGCCACGGTGGGCAACAATGGATCTGCATATTTATAGTTGACCGTATCCTTCCATCATAAATATGATGTTTATACTAGTAGTTCATGATTGTTTTTCGTCCATACCATGCCGGGAGCTCATGAAGATGAGTTGATCGCAACGCTTCCCCCAGGTTTTCTTCACGTGCATCGCCTTTTCGTGATTCCCCGGCATGGTCATTATCCAACACAGGACCCGCACCTTCCGCATCCG